TGTGTTGAAGAAACCAGTAGCACATACAGGTCTGTCATGCTTGTAATTCTGTGATAGATGGACCATGTTTTCATAATCATTCTTTTTTTAATTTCTCAATGTGTTTTTTTTTTTTTTTTCCTGGTACCGGGAACCAAAGTCACGACCTTGCACTTGCCAGGTAGGCGCTGTGCCGCTGAGCTAAATCCCCAGCCCCTTCTTTTTTAATTTCAAAAATTAAAAAACAAAGCAACAATGAAGACAACATCAAAACAACACAGAAACAACAAAAACGATACATGACCTCAAAAAAAAAATGATAGGAATTAACACTGGTTGTTGCATTACATACTGTCATCTTCAACAAAGTTGCTCAGTCCACCAGACATAAGGATGTCAGATTGATCAAACAATCAAAGACAATAACAAGTAATAATAATGAAAAAAATTGGAAATGATGCAGACCTTCACCATATAAGATAGTAGAAGTTCAAGTCATAATCATTCTTAATTTTTTTGTTAATTTTATTTTTCCTCTCAGCTTTTGTTGGCAACTCTTAAGACTCCGTGCACGGTGTATACTTGCTGTGACTTGTTCAGGAGCTGGCTTGATTCTGTTTTTGCGTGGTGGTATTTGACTATAAACAAAGCGTGGTCTTTAATTTGATGAATCATGTTTTCATTCAGCAGCTATTTACTGAATGTCTGTTACTTACAAATCAGAAGCTCCTTCATTGAAAACAGCTTACAAAGGATGCTCTGAAGTGATTTGCCTAAAGTAATTTCAGGACTAATGACTAAGTGACATTTGTGTTGCCTTTGTTAATTTCTATGAATGTTTATCAATTGAAGAGTTTCTAAATATATAGGGACCTCTCCATATGCACTGGTAAGAGATAGTAGTTTAAAAAGCATGGTCTTCAATCCCCAGGACACCCCGTGAATCATGTCCTGAGCCTTAGCAAGCTTACAGTCTTTGTCTTATCTTTCTTTTTTTTTTTTTTTTGGCTGTGCAGATTAAGGGGATTCACTCTGTCACATTTGTGTATACGCGTCACATACTTGATCATTTTCACTGCGACCACCATCCCCTGTCATTCCCCTTGCATTGTGCTCCTACAGTTTTACATTTGGGGGGTCAGTGTGTATATTTTGCTCTAATCCATCCCCCCATCACCCACCTTCTATCTCCTCCCCCTCCTTCTCATTCCTTTCCACTTGTCCAACAGTAGTCTCTCTCTCATCACCTCTTTTAGATCCCATGTATTAAAGAGAAAATGTGTTACTTATCTTTTTAAATTGACACGAATTTTGTAGAAATTTTTGTTGTTTTTTTTGGTACTGGGAATCGAACTCAGGACCTTGCACTTGGCAGGCAGGTGCTTGTGCTTCTGAGCTATATGCCCAGCCCCTGATACTTATCTTTTTGAGTCAGTCTTATCTTGATGAACGTGGTGAAGGTCTCCAGATCCGTGTTTTCCTGCAACTGACAGAATTTTGTGTTTCCCTACAGCTAGGTATATGTCCCTGTATATATGTACACCTTTTCTTTATCCACCCATCTGTTGGTGGGCATCATGGCCTGTTCTGTATCTTGGTTATTGTGCATTGTGTTGCAAAAACATGGATATGCAGGTATTGCTGTAGTATGCTGACTTTGGTTCCTTCAGGTATGTACCAAGGAGTGGCATAACTGGATAATATGTTAGCTTTTTTTTTTTCTTTTTTAAGGCAGGGGTGTCTCACTTTGTAGTACAAGCTGGCCTTGAATTTGTGGCAGTCTTCCTGCCTTAGCCTACTCAATGCTGAGGTTGCAGGCATGTGGCACCTTGCCTGGTTCTCTATATTTAGTTCTTTGGGAACCTCTATACTCATTTCCATAGTAGTTGTACTGATTTACATTCCTACATGCAGTGTAGACGTCTCCACCCCCACATCCTTGCCAATATTTATTGTTTCCTGTATTTAGTTAGTTATTTTCTTTTTTCTTTTTTTTATTCTTTAATCATTCTGACTGGAGTAAGATGGAGTCTCAGTATAGTTTTGATTTGCATTTTGATTTGCATAATGCCTAAGGATCTTGAACAATTTTTCATATACTTACTGTCCATTTTGTGCTTCTATTGAGAAGTTTCATTTGCTCATTTTTGATTAGGCTGTTTGATTTTGATGGTGTTACATTTTTGAGTTCTCTATAGAGTCTAGCTATTAACCCTCAGTTAGAAGAGTAGCTGGTAAAGATTTTCTTCTGTTCTGTGGGCTGTCTGTTCCTTGTTTCCTGCTGGGCAAAAACTTTTTAATTTTATATAGTCAAATTTGTTGATTCATATTATTTCCTGTGTTGTTGGATCCTCATTCAGGAAATCTTTGCCTGTGCCAGTAACTTCCAGGGTTTCCCCTGTGTTTTCTTTTAGCAGTTTAAACGTTTCATGTTTTAAACCTAGGTTTTTGATGCATTTGAATTTGATTTTTCTACAATCAGTGAGTGATAAGGGTAAGAGATGAGGTTCATCTTTTATAAGTGAATACTCGGTTTCCCCAGCACCATCTGTTAAAAAGCCTGGCTTTTCTCCAACATGTCTCTTTGGTTCCTTTGTCCAGAATCTAATGATTGTAGTCTATGTGTCTTTGTGCCAGTACCATGCTATTTTTGTTACTATGGCTTTGTAGTATAATTTGAAATTGGGTATTGTGATGCCTCCAGACTTGGTCTTTTTGCTTACAGTTGCTTTGGCTATTGTGAGTCTTTTGTGTTTCCGTATAAATTTTAGCGTTTTTTTTCTATTTCTGTGAAGAATAGTGTTGGTATTTTGATGAGGATTACATTGAATCTGTACATCACTTAATGTGCCCATTTTGACAATATTAATCCTGCCAATCCATGAACATTGGAGTTCTTTGCATTTTCTGATGTCTTCAATTTCTTCAGAGTTCTGAAATTTTCATTGTAGAGGTCATCTGCCTCTGTTTTATGATGAAACTATTGTGAATGGAGTTTTCCTGATTTCTTTCTTAGCTAGTCTGTTACTGGTGTATAGTAAAGCTATTGATTTTTAAAGGTTGATTTTTATATCGGGCTAAACTGCTGAAATCATTGATCAGCTTTAAAAGTCTTTAGTCTTTTAAAGTGTTAGGAATATGTCATCTGCAAGCAAGGATAATATGACTTTTTTTCCTTTCTTATCTCTTCTATTATTTTTTCCTCTTGCTTAGTTACTTGAGCCAAAACTTCAAGAAGTATATTGAATAAGAATGGCGAGATTAGGCATCCTTTCCTTGTACTTTATTATAATTCATGAATATTTAAAATTTTTTATTGTTTCAAAGATAGTTTTTTTTATAATTGACTTGTTCAAATTAACATTAGATTTGGCTGTTTTATTTCTTTACTACTTGCCATAATCTCTGTCCCTGTTATCAGTTAGCTAGAGAAGCCTTATCATTAGTTTTGTTCAAGATCCTACATTCTCTACTTGGCTGCTTGCTTCCTGGAAGTGTTTAGCTTCTGCCTCTACTTCCTCCAGGCTAGTATGTAGTTCACCTCTAGAGGCTGGGTTGCACTCAGGTTCATTTTTGTTTTGTTTAAAGCCAAGTATGGAGTGGTAAATACTTTCTGTTGCTTTTTTTGTTTTGAGACAGCATCTTGCTATGTAGTTCAGTCTGGCCTTAAACTTATTATGTAGCACAGGCTGGCCTTGAACTCACAGTGATCCTCTTGCCTCAGCTGCCCGGAGTGCTGGGATTACAGACGTGCACTACCACACCCGGCCCTTCTTACTGCAGTTTATGAGAAAAAATGTTTGGTGCTGTCAGTTTAGTGATGCTAAGATTGAGCAGACAGTTTCAGCCCCATTGTGAACATGTCCATATGCCCAAAAGAACTTACTGTGTCCGTGTGTGTGTTCCATTTGTTGGACTGGGCGTCTAATCTGTTAAGTATTTTTCACGTGAATGCAGGTGTAGCAGCAGGAAAGCAAGCACACCTGCGACACGCGGTCTTGGGTTGCAGAGTAATGGTGAAAGCGAGGAGAAAGAGGCCAGAGTCCTGCCGTGAAGAGTGTTCTCACCTGGGTGGGGGGATGGATCTGTTTAATGGTTTAAGTATTGAGCTTTCTTTCTTTCTTTTTTTTTTGGTACCAGGAATCAAACTTAGGACATTGAACTTGCCAGTCAGGCACTTGTGCCACTAAGCTGTATCCCCAGCCCTACTTGTATTTTTTTAAGACAAGGTCTTACTATATATACAGTTCAGGCTGACATTGAACTCACTGCATAGCCCAAGCTGGTCTCAAACTCATGGTGATTCTCCTCCCTCAGCCTCCTGAATGTTGAGGTTACAGACATGCATCACCATGCCTGGCCAGACTGCAGTTCTTTCAGATGTCATACATGTATCTTGAATGTGGATGAAATATGTACATACACCCACATACATAAAATTTATAAAGTGATAACTAAAATCTTATTTACATAATTTATGGCCTCAAACTCACAGCAGTTCTCCTGCTTAGCCTCCCTGCTGGGATTACAGGTGTACACTACCAGGCCCAGCTACTGTTGCTTTTAAAATGCTACATCATTTAATTGGCCTCCTATTAATGGCTCTATTAAAATCCAAAGACTGGTTACAGATTGGTGGGCTTTTATCTCACATATATCTATGTGTACACTTCTTTTCTTCTGAGAGGGTGGCTGTGTTGTACAGGTAACCTCATACTCCTAGACTCAGGTGATCTCTTGCCTCAGTCTCCCAAATAGCTGGGAATATAAGATTTGCCACAATACCTGTCTTACCATTTTTTTTTCTTTTCTTTTCTTTCTTTCTTTTTTTCAGGTGGTCTTAGCATGTAGCTCAGGCTGGTCTTGAACTCACTGTGTAGCCTAGGCTGGCCTCAAATTTATGGTGATTCTCCTCGCAGCCTCCTCAGTGCTGGTGTTATACCACACCCAGTGTATTTGCTGTACTTTAGTATGCAGTTTGGCTAAGACTGTTTCACTGTGTTTGACTTACTGATTTCTAGGACCGTGTGGTTATGAACGTGCTTCCTCTTCACGATGCCTCCTGCTATGGCAGACACCCTTGACATCTGGGCAGTGGATTCGCAGCTAGCTTCTGATGGCACCATACCTGTGGATTTCCTTTTGCCCACTGGGATTTATATCCAGTTGGAAGTACCTCGAGAAGCTACCATTTCTTTTATTAAGCAGGTATGTCAAAATCAAATTTCTGAAGACTTAGCTTATTTTCTGTCACTTGGGGAAATGCTATTCTGTTATAAACATGTTCATAATGAAAATCATATGGTAATTTTGGTACATGCCCTTCTTATGGACATCAGATATGCCAGTCCTCACTCCAACTTTGTATAGCCTCTGGCTATATCTGACACTGATGCCTTTTTTTTTTTTAATTTAAATCTAGGGGGCTGGGGATATAGCTCAGTGGCAAAAGTGCCTGCCTGGCAAGCACAAGGAATTTGGCCAGGAGTTTGATTCCTGGTACCACAAAAAAAAAAAAAAAAAAAAAAAAAAAAGAGTGTAATACTTAAATTTAAATCTAAAACAAAATGTAAGCATAGTAGCATCAATAGATACATTCACAATGCTGGACAGCCCTCACCACTGTCTCTTTCTACACTTTCCTATCATCTCAAACGTGAACTATAAAACCACAGCTTCTTTTTGTAGTCCAGGCCCTGATGATCTGTATTTTAATTTCTGTCTCTGAATTTGCATATTCTAGGCCCCTTATATAAGTAGAATCCTCCAACAAAATAGTCTTTTTTTGTGTGGCTTATTTTACTTAGCAGAATGTTTTCAGTCTTTCGTGTTGTAGCATACATCCTAATTTCATTTCTAGTGCTAAATAACATTCCATTATACATATCTACTACATTTTCTTTGTCCATGCATGTGTTGATAAACCTTTGGGTTGTTTCCAACTTTTGAGACCGTGAATAATGCCACTGGGAAGGTTGGTGTACAGATAACTGTTTGAATCCTTGCTTTCATTTCTTTTGGGCAGAAGTAGGATTTGTTGAATTCTGTGTTAATTCTGGGTTGGTTGGTTGGTTGGTTGGTGTTATGGGTCAAACTCAGAGCTTCATGCATGTTAGGCAGGTGCATTACTGTGGAGCTACATCCCAGCCTCTCCACTTGGTCTTGAACTTGCATTATCCTGAGTGCTGTGTTGCAAGTGTGCACTACCATCCCTGGCTAATTTTCAAGTTTCCTGAAGTCCTGTTTACCTACTGTTTTTTTTGTTTTGTTGCCTGTACTTTGCTGCTCTTGTTTTTGTTTGTTTGTTTACTTTATGTAGTAGGCATCCAACCCAGGGCCTCACTCCCACCAGGCAAGCACTCTGCCACTGACTATACCCCCACCCCTCCCGTTTGTTCTGTGTCAGAAAATAGGGGTTGGCCACAAGTTCTATTGTAGGTGTCTTACCTGTATCTCTGAGTTTTGTTTTCTTTTTCTTTAAACTGGCTGTTGTCAAACTATGTAATCCTTCTTTGTATAGTTACTGTGTTTGTATGGCAAACCTCTTTTACATTGTATCAGGTGGGAGACCTGGAAGGAGATGATGAGAAATTGTGCTCATTCTGACAGGGCATTGTTAGTAAGAATATACCTCTGATGAGTAGAAAAATACAGGGCAAACTGTCTTTTTTTATGAAGATGGTTTAAAGTTTTACTTTTTTTTTTTTTTTCCCCGTTACCAGGAATCAAACTCATGACCTTGCTCTTGCCAGGCAGGCGCTGTGCCACTGAGCTAAATCCCCAACCCCAGTTTTACTTCCTTATTAGAAGTTGTTTAAAGGAAGTTATTTAAAAGAAGGAATGTTAAATATAAAAATACTCCGTTTTTTCCTCTCTCTTTTGATAATGTGAATCGACTCAAGTGCCTTGAATATACTAGGCAAGCACTCGACCACTGTACTACATCCTTGACCCCTTTATTGGTTCTTAATCTTCCTCGGTAATTTTCTTTTTAATAATTTGTTCATAGTGCACGTTTTATGTTCTGTGTTGTTACATTACTTTACATGAAAGGGATAATACCGTATGTATGCATGTACTTTGCCATTGAAAAAATTTTAAAAAAACTGATATATTTGGGACAGCTTTCCATGTCAGAAGGTATTTTTTTTTTTAATAACTTTATAATAGTCTATAATTGACTTACCCAGTCTGTTACTGCTCAATACCTGGGTTGTCCCTGTGCTTATTTATTTTTACAAACAGTGCTGCAGTGGGTTCCCTTGCACAGATATGTTTGTACAGCTATACCAGTGTTTCCATTCCAGATAATGTGTCATTTATCCCTACAGCTGTTATGGAAGCAAGTTCACAATTACCCAATGTTTAACCTGCTTATGGACATTGACTCCTATATGTTTGCATGTGTGAATCAAACTGCTGTATATGAGGAACTTGAAGATGAAACGCGAAGACTTTGTGACGTCAGACCTTTTCTTCCAGTTCTCAAGTTAGTGACACGGAGTTGTGATCCCGGGGAAAAACTGGATTCAAAAATTGGAGTCCTTATAGGAAAAGGTAATTTAAAAATTCCTACCACAACTTCTTAAGGTATCTATTGGTATGTGTATAAACATATAGTAAGTATATTCTGACATTACTTTTCAAAGGGTAGCCCATGCATTACTCTCAGTTTGAGATAAGTGCAGAACTGAGAGTAAGTGTTTAGAAACTCCTCTTGCAGTGCGCTGCTGGCTTATGTGTTGTATGTCTTTTTCTTTATTCATGATATATTTTTATTTTACAAAGGTATTAGCCTTTGAATTGGGAAGAAACAATTATTTCTTTACTGCAGATAGCTTGAGAAGCTCTTTAAGAGACACCCTTAATTTTTTATGAACTATAATATACCTAGAATACTGACCTTTCGTATACAACTCTGTATGCCAACCAAGACTTTCAGCTGCTTGATGTTTCCACAGAGCTCATGTTTTTGATAAATTTTACTCCTCAACTGAAATTATCTTTAATTAAAAATTATTTTTGTGGAGTCAGGATGCATCATGTCTACCTTATTCCTTGCAATTTTTTTTCTTTTTGTCTTTTGGAGACAAGGTCTTGCTCTGCAGTTCAGGCTGACCTTGAGCTCACTTTGTAGACCAGGCTGGTCTTGAACTCGCAATGATCCTCCTGCCTCAACGTCCTGAGTGCTGGTATTTCAGGCGTGTGCCAGCAAGCCTGGCTATTTTTTGCAAATTAAGTCTATGGAAAATTGTAACAAAATTAAGGACATGGACTCTTAGGAGTCCCAGTGGCTGATGGTATGTCAGTGTCTTGCTTTATAGAAGGTATGACTTAATTTTGGAGCTAAAGGGTTACTTAGGAGGAAACTTTAAAGACTTAAGTACAAAACCAGAGAATTCACTGAAGGATTTTGGAACTGATTCGGTACCATACTGATCAGATTCACTAATGTAGGATAACATAATACTGTTCCCTTTAAGATGCCTTTTTTTGACTTGACCTATAGTAATTCAGGCTACCTAATGATTACCATATAACTCCTTTCAGGGAATATTAGAATCGAACCTTGTTGGTTTACTATAATACAATGATATCTCATGACACTTAAAATGGTCAGTTACTTGATTAACATTTTTTTTTTTGGTGGTACGGGGAATCAAACTCATGACCTCACGCTTGCAAGGCAGGTACTGCACCACTGAGCTATATCCCTAGCCCTCAATTACTTGACAGAGTGACTATTTTTGGAGATAACTTTTCCCCATTAAATAATTTTAGAATTATATATCATATATATCTTTTACTTGCCCTCAGTAGAAAGCATTCACTTTCTATTTTTTAGAGCTATGATGATTTTGAGAGAATTTTAATTTTTATTCACTAGAACAAATTTTTCCTTTACTAGGTTCTTTGCCTTGTATCCATCTGTTAGAAAATTTTTTTTCCTTTGTTTTAATTCCCATAGAAATTTTTTTATAGATTATGCCCTGCAATTTGAATGATGAAGATAAAAAAGTCTTGTTGAATAAATTAAGCAGTTTACTGCTCTTAACTGTTTATAAATTGTGCTTTTTTTTTTTTTTTTTTTTTTGTCTTTTTGAGACAGGGTCTCGCTATGCAGTTCAGGCTGGCCTTGAGCTCACTTTGTAGCCCAGGTTGGTCTTGAACTCCCAATGATCCTCCTGCCTCAGCTTCCTGGGTGCTGGGATTACAGGCGTTCACCACCATGCCCGGCATAAATTGTGCTTTTCAGAACACCTAGAAAAGCTGACATTGTGATGATAGACACATTAAAAATGTTTATGTTGAGCCAGGTGTGCTAGTGCATGTCTGTGATCCCAGCTCACCAAAGTCTGAGATAGGAGGATTGCGGTAGATTCAAGGCCAGCCTGGGTTACATAGTGAGTTCAAAGCCACTCTGAACTAGCTAGTGAGACCCTGTCTCAAAAAAAAAAAAAAAAAAAGTTAATGTTTTTAGGAGGTCGAATAAGTCTTAGTATTTTAGAAGAAACTTGGGGGCTGGGGGTTTAGCTCAGTGGCACAGTACCTGCCTGGCAAGTGCAAGGTCCTGAGTTCGATTCCTGGTACTGGAAACCTCCCCACTCCAAAAAAAAAAAATAGAAGAAACTTCACTTTTAATACCTTACAAGTCAATTTTTGCAGTTGCTTATTTATCCATTATGACCATAACCAGAACTTGGTGAGGTCATGCCTTTGGGGAAAACAGTAAATAGTTATTTCCATTTAACTTCAGGAACAAGGTTACTGCCTTCTCTCTCCAAAGAAAATAGTAGAACTTCTAGGACATGATAGCCCTGAGGAGGCTGAAAATGCTTTTTGCCGAAAGGTGATATACCTAATCATTATTTTTCATTTTTGTTCCAAATAATTATTTACAGAGCTGTTGTTTTGGTTCTGATTATTCTCTGTGGTGAAAGTATATGCCACACCTGCATTAATTTTTCCAGCGACCAGCAAAATGAATCATAATCAGAGGATTTTACCAGAATTCTGAAAGAAATATTTTAAAATGCCCCTGTTTTTCTTGACCTGTTTAAACATGTAGCAAATCTTTTTTATATTGCTAAGGATTGAATTCAGGGCCTGGTGTGTACTAGGCACCCACTCTACAGCCTGAACTGAAAACTTTTTTTTGTCTTTTTGAGACAGGTTTTTTCAGGCTGGCCTTAAACTCACTTTGTAGCCCAGGCTGGCCTTGAACTTCAGCGATCCCCTTGCCTCAGCCTCCCAAGTGCTGGGATTATAGGTGTGCGTCACCATGTGGGCTGGATATATGTGGTCTTAAATTGTGTATTATGGGTATCAGTAATTATTTTTATAAAGCTAGTAACCAATCTATATTTCTTCACATGACTTTAATTTTATATACTTCAAAAATTTAACTGCATGTTTTTTGTACTTGAGATTTATCATTTTTTAAAATTAAGTTTATTGGTATAATTTGGATATATATAATGATCATATTCATCATAGGGAATGTGTACCTGTCTATGTTATGTCTTGTCCTCTTTTTCCCCAATCTCCTTCCTTTCCTGAGACTTCACAGTGGGGCGGGGACTGGGAGTGGAACCCAGGACCTTACACTTGCCCTCGCCTGAGATTTATTCTTTTATTTTGTTTGTTTTTATTTTTTTCATATATTCCCTCCTGATTTTGTCTGCTTGATAAAAGCTAAATATCTAAGTTAAGTTTTTGTTAAAAATGCTTTATAGTCTCTCTTATTGTTTTTAGCTACTGAAAATGATGCCTTTATAAAATGTGTTTAGGTCTACATGAATTTGATGCCTTAAAGGATCCTGAAGTGAATGAATTTAGAAGAAAAATGCGCAAATTCAGTGAGGAAAAGATTCAGTCACTTGTGGGATTATCGTGGATTGACTGGCTGAAGCAGACATACCCACCAGAGCACGATCCATCCATCCTTGAAAACTTGCAAGACAAGCTTTATGGAGGAAAGCTCATTGTAGCTGTTCATTTTGAAAATAGTCAGGTAGTATTATATTTTTTAAAGAAATGTTTTGTAGTAAATCTTTGATTTTTACTTGAATATAGTTCCATTCTATGCACCATTACAAAGAAAAGTTCTAGATTTAAGGTAGATGTATATTTACAATTCTGTAGAATAGTTTAATGTCCTTTGCACGTGTATGATTTTTTGATGCAGTAGAACAGTAGTTTAGAGCATGGCTGGCACACTGTACTTTTTAATTGGATTTTCAGTTTTAGGGATGTTAAAAAGTCCTCCTATCTCTTGGAAATTTTTTTTTTTCCTTTAAGACAGGTCTTCTACATAGCCTTGTAGCAGTCCTCCTGCTTCAGCCTCTCAAGTATAAGGATTATGGGCATGCAGCACTGTGCCTGGCAAGATCTCGTGATTGTAAAAGAACATTTTAGCAAAGAAGCGAAGGGAGGGGGGGGTGGGTCAAAATGATCTCTTTTTCCGTATTCTTATATGTACATTCTATGAATATGTGAATGAAATGGTGATAAGAAAGTTGGCACTCCTATAGTATATGGCTGATCCATATCGGAATACTTATAGCAGTTACACAAACTAGATTATGCTGTTACTGGATTTGTAGCAAGGCTGGTCATCCTGTCATCTGGGGGCTTAGATTAAGGTGGGATTCAAGCGTGTTTGTTCTTGATTTACTCTCGTAACCATAACAGTGGCAGCAAACACCACATTAGCTGTCCTGTGTCAAGCACTGTGTTAGCTTTCTGCTGCTGGGAGAAAATCCCCCACAGCCACAGTTTAAAGAAAGAAAAGTTTATTTTGGCTCACAGTATCGGAGGTTTCACTTATGGTCCCTCGATTCCAAGGCAGAAGCATCATGGCAGAAGGGCATAGCACCTGGGGAGCAGAGAGTGAGACAGCTGGGTGGGGCGCTGGGGACAAGACTGCACCCTTCCAGGTTACGCCTCCAGTGACCTGCTTCCTCCAGCCCGTCCCACCTCCCACCCCGCATTCACTGTGAACTCATCCGTGATGAATCCACTGCTGAGAGTAACGCTCAGTGATACGATCATCCTCCCAGAGCCCTGTCTCTGAGCATAAGCTTCTGGGGGCAGTTTTGATCCAAGCCCTAACAAGCACTTAGACCTATATAAGATCTCTTCCTTGCATTCTGCAATTTCTACAACCTCAGATGGCTGCCTTTTCTCTCATTTTACAGTGAAGAAACTAAAGTATGAGAAATATCTTTTGTGCTAGGCCTCACATGCAGAGTAAGCAAAAAATTCAGTGAATGCTTAGAAATTTTTATTACAGTAAAAGACACATTTTCACTAATCTTCCTCAAGACAGTGCTCCTCCCCTTCACCCTGAACACACGAGTGCCCTCGTTCTTGCCGCTTTCCTGAGGTCGTCTGTGAGTCTGCCTTCATGTGTATCTTTGTGTTGTCGTGGCTGTCTTGATGTCCTGAATCCGTTCAAAACCTGTACCTTTCATGATCTTTTTGACTTTGGGGAAGAGCCGGAAGTCATGCAGTGCCAGGCCTAGTGAATCAGGTGGGTGAGGGCACATTGTAATTCTTTTATGAGCTGCCTTTTCTTTGGATGGCGCTCACCAGCGGCATTCATCATACTTTTGATCACACCTTGTAAAGCACTCATGAAAAGCAAGGAGGGGGTGTTTTGAGCTGGATTATTGATGGTGTATATTTTAGCGTCATAATTTTTAAAATTTAAATATTCATTTATTGTCGTCACACCTGTAGTTAGTGATAGATCCAGGATTTTACCCAAATGTCTTTAATTTTACCTTATTATATTCTTTTAATTTTTTGGTTTTTTGGAGATAGGGTCTCAGTTTAGTTCAGGCTGGCCCGAAACTCGTGGCAATCTTCCTGCCTCAGTGCTGGGATTATAGATAGGCATGCCCCACCGTGTCCTGCTGAGCTTTGCCTCATTTCAGACAATATTTTAAGAAGTATTTATTAAGAGAGATGTGAGAAAGGACCATACTTGTAGGAATTACTCCTTGATCAGAAAGTTTATAGCTGGAAAAGGCAGTGCAGGCCTCAATCCCAGTCCTCTGAGAGGCCGAGGCAAGGGGATTTCTGGTTTGAGCCTAGCTTGGGCAATTTAGTGACTTAATGAGGGTGTCTCAAAATAAAAAGGGTTGGGGATGTAGCCGAGTGCAAAGGCCCTGGTTCAGTCCCCAGTACTGAGAGATAAAGAGGGACAGGGAGAGGGAGAGAGGAGAAGGAAGAGAAAAACACTGTGAAAAGAAAGAGAGAGAGGCTGGCAGACTGGCTTGTTTAGGGGAGAAACACCATCGGTTATCCTGAGATACACTGAGAGTAGAGTTCAGTTTGAGTAAAAGTTTTAGTAATAAAATCTCACTGTCAGATTGAAAATACTGCTTAGGAACTTCTGCAAGGCCCAAAGAAGTGTACTGGGAAATTTATTGCCGAAAAGTGATTAAAATTCAATTTGGAAGCCTTGGCTTAGTACAGTTTACCTGTCTAGGGCAGTCTGAGTTTCTTTACAGATGAGCCACATCCACTGGGACATACAGATTTTAATGTAATCATCTTTTTACCATGTATATATGGAAGGAAAAGTTTTTTGTTGTTCCCACCCACTTTCTTTGTGGTAGTGGAGACTGAACCTAAGGCCTTTGGACCACGCTACATTGCCGGCTACTTTTGTATTTTATTTTGGGATATGGTCTCATTAAGCTACTAAATTGCCCAGGTTTGACTTGAATTTGGAATCTTCCTGTCTCAGCCTCCCAGAGTCTTAGGATTACAGGAGTGCATCACAGGCCTTGCTGGGTTTTTTGTTATTGTTTTACTGTACTAGGATTGAGCTCAGGGCCTTGTGCATGCTGGACAACTGTTCTGCCAATGGAGTGTGTGTGGTGCTAGAAATTGAACCCAGGGCCTTCACACTAAGCTACATCTCCAGTCTTTTTCTTAGTTTTTATTTTGAGACAAAGTCTCAACAAGTTGCTAAATTGCCTAAACTGGGCTTGATTTTGATCCTCCTGTCTCAGCCTTGTGGAGTGCTGAGATTGTAAACCTACCTTAAAGAAATGTTTTGGAAATAAGAGATGAAGATACAGTACTATGAAATCATACTGATTCCAAGCAGTCACAGAATATGGAGTTAGAAGGAGTTTAGAGATCACCTAGCCAGACTTCCTATATTCCTTTTAGCCAGGTCTAGTGGCACACACTTACAGTCCCAGCACTCTGGAGGCTGAAGCAGGGGGAGCACTGTGGAGTTTAAAGGCCTGTAGTTCAAGCCTGAACTACATTGTGTGAGACCTGTCTCAAGAAAACAAACAAAAAATTTCATTTTAGAGTCCCTGAAATCCATGTCTCTGCCTGAACACATCAGTTCTAGGAGATACTTCCTCTGCTCTTGGAACAGTGTTTTTACTATGGGAAAGCACATATTTAAATTTTGGATTTAAAAAAATTGTTTTAAGTTCAATTTTCCCTTCTTTGACTTTTGCCCATCTCAGTGTGCTCTCCATGCAGTCTTATTTTCCCCCTACATGCCAGATACCGAGATAATTGAATTTTTCAGGAAAAACCTTTCCAAAAGGGTTAAGCCACAGGTTCCTAGACATTTGGATTCTGTGGACCAGTAAAATTATTAAATTATTAAAGAATTGTGTCGGATGTGGTGGCACATGCCTGTAACGCCAGCATTCAGAGGCTGAGGCAGGAGAATCACTGTGAGTTTGAGACCAGTCTGGCCTACAAAGAGAGTCTGACTTGCATAGTGAAACTCTGTCTTAAAAAGACAAAACAAACAAACAAACAAAAAACAACAACAAACCCAAGAAACAAAAGACAAAGTTCAGCAAAAGAGTATGCGCTACCGTGGTGCTGATCCAGCTATTTTTATTGATACATTTTTGACATACATAATGATCACATTCATAATAGGGAATTTGTACCTGTACATAATATACTTTAATTTTTTCTTCTCCCATTCCATCCCTTCCCTTTAATCCTTCTTCCCCTTCCCCTTTATAAAACTTTGCTGTATTATTTTCCTTTCATCCTTTTTTATTTTTTGAATCCCTATTCCCTCCCTTGTTCCTCTTCCCATTTGAACACTTTCTTCCTACTTCCCAAAAACTGTCATCCATTTTGGTCCTTATTTATTTACTCTTTGGATTTCTCACACAAGAGAAACAATGTGATATTTAAATGTGTGTCCATTTTATTTCACTTAAAATTATGTTCTGAAGGTGCAGCCATTTACTTAAAATTGTCTAAGTTTACCCTTTTTGTGGCAGTGTAGTACTCCTTTGTATATAAAAACCACATTTTCTTTATCCATTTATCCATTGATGGGCATCTGGGCTATTCTGTTTCCAAGATTTAGCTATTGCAAATTGTGTGGCTATAAGCATAGGTGTGCATATATTGCTGTGGTATGATGCTTGAACTCTTGAGAAGATACCAAGAAGGGGAATAGCTGGGTCAAGTGGAACCTCTAATTTAGTTTTTTGAGGAATCTCCACACTGATTTCCATATTGTTTGTACCACTTTATACTCCCACCAACAGTGAAGAAAGGTTTGTTTTTTCCCACCGCCTCTCTAGCATTTGTTACTGATTAATTTCTTGATGACATCCATTCTTTCTGGGGTGAGATAGAATTACAGTGTTGTTTTAATTTGCTTTTTTTTTTATTTTAAAGAGTAAAAGAAGGATAATATAATAATGGGGGGCTTACCAAATTACAGACAAAGTGGTAGGAAATTATCAATGGTTATTGTTTTACATATTGTTATCTACAAGATAGTTTCTCAGGAAAACAAATAGACAAATAATAGTGAGTTACAGACAAAAGAGGTAGGAGATTATCAATTGTTGTACTATGGTATATTCAAAGTGGCTTCTAAAGAAAATAAATAGAGCTATACATGAGTGACCTATTGAATAATCATTAACTTTTCTCAATGGTTGTTGTAGGAAACACATAATGATAGACATGCATCCATTTACGAAGTAGGATAGGAACAATACAAACATTGCAGAGTTATGGATACATTAGTAGGAAAATATCAGTGGCTGCTGTAATACATGGTGGGATCTTAGAAGTGGTTTCTCAGGAAGACAAAGATACGCAAGAAGGATCTAACAAGTAGTTACAGCCTAAGGGTTGTCAAAAATCAAGTGAGCCATCTGGGGTGAAAGCCATTTTTTGTAGCATTTTCTCTCCAGCCTCCCATCGCATTGGGACCCCACAACCAGTTAGTGTCCTCTGCCCAACTGTCAGCACAGGCAGCAGGAATCCTGCTGCAGACTTCTCCGGAGCTCTACCACAGCCTGTACTGTCAGGGGAAGAATGGCTTCCAGGGAGTCTCTGCAGGTATTGTGCAAGGTCCTCCTGGCGTACAGCTTCTGAGCGGCTCTCATGACCCCAGAGCACAGGACCTCTGACTCCTTGGGCTTAGTCTGCATTCTCGTGTTCTCCAAGTCCTTGTTCAGCAGCTGCTCCTCCACTGAATCTGGACCTTTCTGGTTTTCAGTGGCAGGAGCAAGAGTGGCCCGTTGTATGACATGTATTCCCAGGGGTTTCTCCATGTTTGAATGATTCACACACGTCTGTGGGTGGGCATCTGCAGTCAGTGCATGGTGGGCCAATTGTGTCACTGTTTCTCTGTGTCATGGTAGTTCTCAGTTGAGCAGTGGCAGCCTGCCTGAGGGCCGGCGTGCAACAGTGCTTGCTGCCATGTGGATCCATCCCCTGCGCTGGGGACCCTCCTTCTGGGTGCCTATGAGGCAAGGAGCGAGCCGGTCGGAAGATCGGCGCTCCCTGCCCATGGCTCCCCATGCACCTGGGCCCCTCATTCCGGGCACCTATGAGGCAGGAAGCAAGCCGGCCCGAAGACCTGCGCTCCCCACCCGTGGCTTCCCGTGCACCTGGGCTCCATGCATTTCTCAAATGACTAGTGATGTTCAACATTTTTTCCTGTATTTATTTGCTATTTGTACTTCATCTGAGAAGTGTCTGTTCATTTCAGATGCCCATTATTGCAATTGGTATTTATTTATTTATTTACCTAATACCAGGAATTGAACTCGGGACCTTGCATTTGCCAGGCAGGCTCTTGTGCCACTGAGCTATATCCCTGGCCCTGGAATTGATCTTTAAATTTAGGCAGTTCTGATTATTTTTGAGTTCTTTATACATTCTAGATATTAGTCCTTTGAGGACTAGCTGGTAAAAATTTTTTCCCCATTATCTCTTCATTCTGTTGGTGGTTTCTTTTGGTGTTCAAAACCTTTTTAATATGATGCGTTCCCAGTTGTCGACTCTGTAATATTTCCTGTGTAGTCAGAGTTTTGTTCATAAAGTTTTTGCCTACACCAGTGTCTTCAAGAGTTTCACCTATTCTGTCTTCCAGCAGATTATGTTTCTGTTTTAATATTTAGATCTTTGATCCATTTAGATTTTAGATTAGTACATGGTGAGACATGTGGGTGTAGGTTTCATCTTTGGCTTGCAGAAAGCCAGTTTTTCCAGCACCATTTATTAAAGAGGCTATCTTCCTTCCAGTGAAAATATTTGGCCCCTTTGTCAAAGATAAGGTGGCTGAGTGTGTTTGGATTTGTTTCTGTATCTTCTGGTCTGTTCCACTGACCCTTGGGTCTGGTTTTGGTTGTTTTGCCATTACTGTGCTGTTTTGTCAGGGTAGCATTGTAGTATAATTTCATGTTGGGGATTGTGATGATCCCAGCAGTAACTTTAGTTAAATATTAATCTTACATGTGGGAGTTGTGGTGTTCAGGATACAGTAAGATGACTTTCAAATTAGCAGAAATCTTAACAAATTTTATATGGGAACATATTTAGAATATAGAAGATACATTCAATTATAAAACTTTAAAGATTGTAAATATTATACACATTTGTATATATTACATAATGATTATAACTGTGATTTTTTTTCAACACAAATGTAAAATTTCCTGCTTCAGTTTTCTATTTTCTCTCTTTTTAGGATGTGTTTAGCTTTCATGTATCCCCTAATATGAATCCCATCAAGGTAAATGAGTTGGCAATCCAGAAACGTTTGACCATTCATGGGAAGGAGGAGGAAGCCAGTCCTGGTGACTACGTGCTGCAGGTCATTGGAAGAATAGAGTATGTGTTTGGTGATTACCCGCTAATTCAGTTCCAGGTAGGTGTGGTGTCCTCCTAACCGAGAAGTGTGTATGTCTATATTTAATTTTTATTTCTGATTTTAAAAAAGGTATGCCGATAATGAACATTTGGAATCTACAGAAAATTGCACCAACATAACTAGTGTATAATCCATAATCCTACCTACCTCTGAAAATATTGTTGACATTTTGGCATGTTTTTGTTACTTTTATTTACAGTTATGTGTGGTTTTGGTATAATGATTATATATGAATGTGTGTATCTGTGTTTGCATTCTGCTTTTTCTTTAGTGTTCGAATTATTTTCCTATAGGATTATGAATTCTTAACATAGTTTGTTACCATTGCCTACTCTTACATGAACATATGGTTTAAATGTGAAATATTCTGGAGGAAGGTAAATATTTTAAAAATTCCATTAAACAGCAAGCCATTTGTTGAGTTGTATAAAAATGTATTTGTTCAAGAACTTGTTATCAGTTAACTAGATAAAGTGGTTTTTTGGGTAGGGGTACTGGGGTTGTATATGCTCTACAATTGAACTACCTTCCCAGCCCAGTACAGTAATACTTAAAAATTTTCAATTTCAAAAAATTTCAATTTCAGTCAGTAGTATTTGTGTATCTAATCCCCTTTGCACCTTTTTATTCTTGCTTCTATATGTGGTAGGAATTTTACATGATTTAGGTCATAAAAAAACTGTCCCTGATCCTCTAGACTTCATGACCTTGCGTTTGCCAGGCAAGTGCTGTGCTGCTGAGCTATACCCCAGGTACCTCTTCAAGACATTTATTTCCATTTAATCTTGAATTCTTTAAGTGTGTACTTTATGGAAGCCACTAAACTGCCTTAGGTTAAAATGGAGTTTAAATAAAGTGTATGTAGTCCAGTGACCCTTTCCTCACAGGTTTGCCTTTTACTGAATGTCTCCCCATCTCCACCCCTGCTGGCCTTTGTGGTATTTTTGTTTGTTTGGTTGGTTTTGGGAGAGAAGGTCTTGCTGTGTAGTTCGGGCTGGCCTAAAACTTGTAGTGATCTTCCTGTCTCAACCAGCTGCATGCTGGGATTCCAGGCATGCACCACCACATTTGGCTATAGGGTCTCACTAGGTAGTTCTGGCTGACCTTGAATTCACTATGTAGCCCAGGCTGGCTTTGAATTCATGGTGATCCTCCTGCCTTAGCCTCCCAAGTTCTGGGATTGTTTTGTTTTGTTTTGTTTTTGAGACAAGGCCTTCTTATGTAGTTCAGGCTGCCCTTGAATTCATGGCTGTCCTCCTGCCTTGGCCTCCGGAGTGCTGGGATTATAGGGGTGTGCCATCAAACCTGGCTCCAATTTTTTTAAGTCTTGAGACAAGGTCTCACTAAATTGCCCAGGCTGGGTTTGAACTTGTGATACTGCTGCCTTACCCTCAAAGAATGTTGGGATTACAAGCATGTGCCAGCCACCATGTCTGGCAGGGTTTGCTTGCTTGTTTTCCTTGTCTGTGTGTCATTGTCTCTGTCCTTTTCCCCCCACCCCCACCCCCGCTGTTTTTATTGAGACAGGGTCTCACTGTGCAGTTCAGGCTGGCCTTGAACTCACTGTGTAGCTCAAGCTGGCCTTAGACTCACCACAGTACTCTTGCCTCAGTTTTCTGAGGGCTGGGATTACAGGCCTGCACCACTGAATGCAGCAAGGTTTGCTTCTTAAAGAATAAGTTGCTGCCTCTGTCTTGTCTGTCTGTCTGTCTGTCTTCCTTTCTTTTTTGTCTTTGTCTTTTTGAGATAGGGTTTAACTATACAGTGCAAGCTGTCTTTGAACTCAGTTTGTAGCCCAGCCTGGCTTTGAATTCCTTTGTTTCAAGAAACTTAAAGATACTTTGTTGAAAGTATTTTAGACACTAAAAAATAGTTATTATATAAGGAATAGAGTAATTGCCAAGTTTGAGATCAGTAGTGACAGGAGTTAAATCCTAAGATTTTTTTATTTAAAAAAAAAAAAAAGATTTTTGATAATATTGTTTTGAGAGATACAAACATGCCAAATACAAGGTGATGTCTGACAATAAGGAGCCGAGATTTATTATCAAGTACTGTACCTGGAAACTGGATTTTACACGGTTTGTTTATTTTGTGCTTGTGTGTGTGTGTGTGTGTGTGTGTGTGTGTGTGTCCTGGGTCTTGAAACTAGTGCCTTCACACACTGGGCTACTTTCTTTGTTTTTTGAGACAGGATCTCACTCTGTAATCCAGGCTGGCCTCAAACTTGTGGTGATCCTTCTGCCTCAGTCACTCAAGTGCTTGGATTATAGGCATGTGTCACCACACCCTGCTCATATTGAGCTACATACACAGCCCTTTAAAATACTAAGTGGCACAGGTTTGGCTCAAACTTTTATCCTCCTGACTCAGTCAGTGTTGGATTTACAGGCACGTGGCACCACGCCTTGATGGCCATTAAATTTTACAGTTTAGAAGGTAGACAGTTTAGACGTGTGTGCACAGCTATGAGAGTGAAGACATTCTCTTTTGTTGTTTGGTTTTTTTTTGAGACAGGGTCTTCCTGTATGTTCCAGGCTGGCCTTGAACTCATGGCGATCCTTCTGCCTCACCTCCCAAGTGCTGGGATTGCAGGTGTGCTCTACCACACGTCGTCACTGGGAGCTAGACATTCTGACTGAGCAGTTGAACATTAGACTATGAGAAGGAGAGGGAAGATAAAAAGTGATGGGTGGGCAACGTAGAACGTGATTTCATGTTCTGCCTTCATTGAAGTAGCATTCATTAAAATTATTTGTAATGATTCCAAATGAGTACATTGAATCATACTTTGAATCTATATAGGAAATTTATTGTTTTGAAAAATACATTGAATTCCTATTCACTTGTTAAGGATCTTTGGAAATATGAATGATCAGTCTGCTTTTATGCCTTTGAAGAGCCCCTTGGTATCATGAAAATAAAACAAGACATTAGACTACAATAGCCAATCGGTGTGTGCTGGGAAGGTGATTAGTAATGCTTTTGTAGAGCTTTGTGCTGTGTAGGACAGTGTAGGTCTGTCACGCATGAAGCATGTATTCACCTTTCCTGGCAGATTGGCTGATGTAGTGATGGCAAACCTTTTTAGAGACCAAGTGCCCAGACTGCAACCCAAAACCCACTTATTTATCATAAAGTGCCAGCACCACAATTACACCTGAATACTGAGGTTTTAGTTTAGAAAAAAACAACTCATGCATGAACATCTTTTGTCTTAAAAGAAAAACACGATAACAGAGCTTTCAGTGATACAAACAGCTCCTTATTGAAAGGTGAAGTTCGCATTGGCGTGCCTTGGCACAGTTAATGTGGTCTTTGGTGTCATGTGCACACTGATACTTTGTCAGACCTTGGCTCATGTTCTGCTAGCTTGAGAGTAGCACGTGCAGCTCTGAGGTCGTCTGTCAGTCTGTTCCTTATATCGTATTTGATATGACTCAAAGCTGAAAATAGCTGCTCACAAGCGTATGGTGATTGAAACAAAGTAAGAAAAGCAACCTCTAGTGCTTTCCTTGACTTAAAATTATTTTATTTCACAGAGAATTCTAGACATTAAGGATTTCATTGTCAGAACCACCAACTGTGCCATGTCCTTTGTCCTCCCTTCACACTCTGTCCTCTCTGTATTCTCAGTTGTTGCACACAAGTCATAGAATTCATTTTGTCAAATAGAGCTTTCTTGAAGTTCTAGTAGCTCCATTTCCAGATCCCCCAAATCCAACCAGTGTAAGTAGGAAGGATCAAGTCCTTCAAATTTGGCTTTATCTGGAGAAGTAAGAAAATAGGGTTGTCTACATCTTACGAAACTGTAAAAATCTGTTACTGAAATTCTCCTTCAGCCATGCATGGTGGCTCACGACTGTAATCCCAGCACTTGGGAGGCTGGGGCAGGTGGATGGATCGCATAAGTTCAAGGCCAGCCTGGGATACGTAGTGAAATCATGACCAGCCTGAACTACATAGCAAGACTGTCTCAAAACAACCCTTTTTTTTCACTCCTTTGCAGTTGCTACTAGAAAATTCCTTGTAGATTTCCTGGTGGCTTGTAGGATTGTCTGCATATGCAGAACTTTCCAAATGTATTTTTATATTTGGAAATGTTCCAGCCACCTACTTTCAGTGTCTCTTCAAAAGCCTGCAGTTTTTCTCTCAAATGTTTTGATATCACAAAACATTTTCCCCCATACCTTGTAGCTTTTCTAGATCAGATTTTATTGGTGCATTATAGATACACATCATGGTCACGTTCATCACAGAGAATCTGTGCTACGTAACTTGTTTTTCTCCCAACCCCACCTTCCTTTCAGCTCCTCCTCCCTTCCCATTTCAAAAGCTTTGTTTCCATGTTTCCCTTCTTTTCTCATTTGTTTCTTTTTCCTCTCCTGTTCCCCTTTCTTTTATTTCCCTTCCCATTTGAACGTTTTCTTCCTGTTTCACAATACTTAATATACATTTTGTATATTATTTATTTTCCATTTCTCACAGCAGAGAAACAGTGTGGTACTTACACATGTGTCCGGTTTATTTCGCTTAAGAATATGGACTCAAGGTGCTTCCGTTTTCCTAGAAATGTCTTGAGTGTATCCTTCTTTATGGCAGAGTAGTACTGCACTGTATAAAAAAAACCACATCTTCTTTATCAAACATTCACCAGTTGATGGGCACTTGGGTTGTTTCCAAGATTTGGCTGTTACATTCTGTGCCGCTATAAACATGGATGTGAATATATCACTGTGCCCATACCTTGTAGTTTTTTGTTCACTACATTGAGGTAGACTGTATAAAGTCTGTTAAGAAAAAAAGATTTTAAGCCAGACTTTATCAGCGGGCTGTGGCTATTCCTGCCCACTTTCGTTCATAAACAGCCCAGTTTTATCCAAGAGGTCTACAGATCCCTCCAGGACTTGTCTTTTTTGTTTTGTCTTTTTGAGACGGGGTCTCACTATGCAGCTGAGGCTGGCCTTGAGCTCACTTTGTAGCCCAAGCTGGTCTCGAACTTGCAATGATCCTCCTGCCTCAGCCTCCCCAGTGCTGGTTTATAAGAGTGCACCACCACGCCTGGCCAGGACTTGTCTTTTGTTCAGCCACTAGACATTATTATTCATAAGTAAAGCATTATACTGTGCCTGAACTTCATCCAGAAGTTGAAACTGTTGAAAATGAAGTGCACAAGCCATCATATAATTCACCATTTTTGCGGCCTTTGAGGATATTGTCTAATTTATGCTGCTACCACTGGCACAAAGAGCTTCTTGACGTATAATACAGTGAAACTGAATGACTAAATGTTTTGCTTCTTTAACAAAGAACTGTATGAAACCAGAGGTTGCCCCCACCTTGCAAGGTCCCCCATCACTAGTAATTGAAACCACATTTTCTATGTCTTATGACAAAAAGCCTCCATCACAGCGTTGTAGATATCCCTGTGTCCTTCCAGGCAAGGACACCAGTTTCACCAGCTCATGATGTCACCAACAGCATAATGCAAAATTACTGCTAGCCTCGCATTATCGTTATATTTGCACTTTCATCCAAACGCATAGAGCAACAGGCTGCCTTTTATAAGTCAGTGGTCAGCTGCCGACCGACATCATTTGCTATGTGCAGGATTGGATCTGTGACAGTATTTCTGCCACATGGCATCTCAGAGGTGCATTGCCGGTTTTTTTTTGGTGGGGGGTGGTTGGAGACACAGGGTCTTGCTTTGCTCAAACTCATGGCAGTCCTCCTGCCTCAGTCTCCCAAGTGCTGGGTTTACAGGTGTGTGCCACCACGCCCAGCATGTTGCATAATTTTATCCTTGTTTGGGAAATCATGAGAAAGGGAATTAGTCCCAGACAACGTGACCATTTTGGTAAAAGTCCCCATCAGAGAGGGGCTTATCATATTTTCCTATGCACAATAAAATTTGAAAGCTGGCAGCTGTCAGATTTGTTGTAGATAGTTTTAGAAGGTAAGACACTGGGAATGACTCTTCCTCTTTTTCTGTTCAGGAAACTTCTCTTTCAGTTTCGCCAAGGTTAGCAGCACTTTTGTCAGAATGCTGTCTGACCCTTGATTGGGCACTCAGAGCTGTCACTGCCCAGAATGCGCAGCACTCCTCCGCTGTGCTCAGTCGTTACAGATAGCTCTGTGCAGGCCTCTGGGATGACCATCCACAGTCTGTTTTCAGTTTTGCTTTTTTGCTGTGGACAGGTTTTGATATTCAAGACTTGGAGTCTACAAAAAGACAAAATTAAAAAAGAAGTACCCAGTACAAATCTATCCCTGTACCAAAAATAGCTAACACTATTAGTTCAGTGCTAAAGAATTGTGTGTTCCCTGAATCAACCATCCATAGCCATGATTCTCAGCTGGGGTTGCTCTTGAATTTTGCTGACCACCACCATAAGGGACAATGTTCCACTAACCAATGGCTTTTGTCTTTGAAAAAGGCAGCTGAGTGTATTTCCTACCTTGTGGGGGCTTCTGCTAAAATCACAGCCAGTCCAAGCATGCAGTGTATCTAGCTCTATATATATCTTCTTGCTCTTTTTTTTTTTTTTTTTTTTTCAGTCTACCAGGCTCTCGCTAAGTAGTTCAGGCTGGTCTTGAACTCACTGTGTAGCTTAGACTGGCTTTGAACTCCTTCTCTCTGAACCTCTCAAGTGCTAGGGTTGCAGGCATGTGCCACCATGCCTGGCTTCTTGGTCTTGTTTTCATAACTCTTTACAAACAACTAAATATGATGCTGCAGATTCAAATATGCCAGGGAGACAGCACAACATTAAAAAAAAATACCAATCTCTTAATTAAAACATTTCTTTGCTAAATCTGAGATATTAAATGTTAATTTTTCATAAGAAAACTCAAAGCCAAACTCTTTTGTTAATAAAAAAGGAATCTATTAAAACTCACAGCCAGTCCAAGCAAAAACATGCCCTTGGCAGTATGCTGACTGGCCATGCAAAAACTTGGCCGAGTCCTGACTTGGGACCTCATAGCCTGGTACACTACTCCTTCCTGAGCATGCACACAGCTCCTCTGTGCGCTTTTATCTGTGCTGCCCAGGCAACTTTGCTTCTGGGCCAACAGAGAGGGCTTTGTGTGCCCACTGTAGCACACGTGCTATACGTTCGCCACCACTGGGCTGAAGTATGACTCTGGAGTCAGATAAGCCGACCTGTCTCAATTTGAGGTCTTACAGATACTAAGCGTGTAACTTAACCCTTCTGAGTTTCATTTCTTTAAGATGTTAAATGGGGTTAATCTTAAAAAATTATATAGCATTGTGAAGATCAACATGTAATTATATGTCAGGTTTAGTTCTTAGACCTTTAATTAATGGTAGCTAGCTATTTAATGTGTTATGTTTTGAGTGATCATATTCCTCATAGCATGTTGTATAAGATGTGCTTGTGTGCATTTCACACAGTGCTGTTCAGATTGATTTCATTCTGTCAGTATGTCTGCCTGAAAGTGTGCACTTGCCCTTGTCGTCCCCCAGTACATCCGGAACTGCGTTGTGAACAGGGCCCTGCCCCACTTTGTACTTGTGGAGTGCTGCAAGATCAAGAAGATGTATGAGCAGGAAATGATTGCCATAGAAGCTGCCATAAATCGGAATTCATCTAGCTTTCCTCTTCCCTTACCGCCAAAGAAAACACGAGTTATTTCTGTAAGTTCCATGTGTGAGCCTTGTAACTCTAGACAGCATGTGATTTTGTTAGATTATACACTAAATCTTTCACATATTTCCGTGACTCACTTCTGCTTCTGTGAAAACCAATACATATTTACCAAAAACTGATCACACACTTCCTTAAAAAGTAAGTTGCAGGCTATGATTTTAACTTGCTCAAGCTACAGATACTATAAATATGCCATTTGTGTGTTTTGGTACCAAAAAAATGCCATCAAGTTAGAGATTGGACCTTAAACGTAGAACTTTAAAGAGCAGTTTGAGATACTGTAGTAGAAAAAGTGAAATGCACAGAAATAGTTGATTTATGAGTGTATTTCATTTCTGTGAGCTTAACTGAAGTGGTGTTTTAAGAATGTAGTAGCCTACATTCTTAATACTCAATTCTTTTACTATTTAAACATGTATCAAAACCACTTTTCTAGAATATATATGGTAGATATGTAAGTTTGTGTTTACTTGAATACTTTATTTTTTTTTTGTCTTTTTGAGACAGGGTCTTACTATGCAGTTTAGGCTGGCCTTGAGCTCACTTTGTAGCCCAGACTGGCCTCGAACTTGCAACGATCCTCCTGCCTCAGCTTCCCAAGTGCTGCAATTACAGGCCTGTGCTACCATGCTCTATCCAAAGTTTTGTGTGGGTTTTTGTTTTTGTTTTTGTTTTTTTGAGACTGGGTCTTGCTATGCAGTTTAGGCTGGCCTTGTGCTCACTTTGTAGCCCAGGTTGGTCTCTAGCTTGCAGCGATCCACCTTCCTCATCCTCCCAAATGCTGGGATTACGGGTGTGTGCCACCATGCCTGGCTTATCCAGAGTTTTTGAATACTATTTGTTGATGTTTCTTTAGGGGAAGTGCTTTGGACTGAGTTTAGGACCTTGTGCTTGCTGGGCAACCACTCTGCTACTGAGCTATACTCCCGGCCCCTGTTGTTACTTTTACTTTAGTGATTTCTCTTAGCAGTGTGAGTGCTGCCTATGTTTTGCTTTGAAAACCAAGAGCTAGTGGCTATAATGCTTAATTTAATATATGTGATTTTTCAGTTGCTAGTTCAGAGTTTTCATAGTTTTCCAATGTACATGGGAACCAAGAGACAGCTTCATTGTTGCCAGAGAATATTCGTTTCTTTCACTAAAACACCTTTGTGTTTAATTCTTTTTCAGCATGTTTGGGACAATAACAAGCCTTTCCAAATTGTTTTGGTTAAGGGAAATAAGCTTAACACAGAAGAAACTGTAAAAGTGAGTATTTTAAGTTTTGAATTTCCACACACTGTTTCCTATGCTCAGTAATGCCCTATTAGAAGGTTAAACTCTGCCCATGCCCGTCAGTTACATGAGATAGAATTTGGAGATTCATTGTAAGACTGTTGGATATTTTTGTTTCAAAGTCTTCTTTGAATAGTTAGAGATCTATTGGAAAGACTGACATTAATTGTCAAGTATGTACTGTGTAGAAGAAATTGATTTTTGACCAGGAATTCAACCAGTGAAATAGAAAGCTGAATTGCAGACCGCATACTCTGTGTAAGCTTACTCTCTTCTCGTCCCCTTGGAGCTGCGCTGCAGCCTTCCCTCACAGCCACCACTCCCAACGCAGCTTTTTTTCTTGCTGAGCACAGAGAATGTAATGTGACTTTCTGAAAGAAAATAGATGACTGCATTATAGATCACAAGTTGTTAACACACGAAGGGATTTATCGCACAGCCCTATACAGACGTAACTTGGTTTTAAAGCTTAAAGCATGCATTTTTCCTATTTTGCTGGGCAGAAAATTAATAGAACAATTTTACAGTCCAAGAGAGAAGTTCAGTTAGCTTGAAATATTTGTTGGCATGTGGATATGTTCGTGGGCACCTTGCCAGACATTACTAGTCCCTTGCTTTTGTGCATGGACATTATTTTTTTGGGAATAGTGAGGGGTTGGGGAACTGAGATACTCAGTGAAAGGATATAAAGATCTGGGTAATTTGGATGCATGATTCTAAAGATCTAATGTGCAACATGAGATCTGTAGTTAATAATAGTATATTGTATACTGGGGATTTGTTGAGAGAGATATTGGCTACTCTCAGTGAGGTAAAAAGATCATTATATGTGTTGATGGATACGCCAATTTATGTGGTTATAGTAATCGCTTCATTATATTAACGCATCATGTTGAGGTGTGGTTGACCCACACACCTTTAATCTCAGCTACTTGGGAGACTAAGGCAAGAGGATCACAAGTTCAAGACCAGTCTGGGCAATTTGGGAAGGCCCTGTCTGAAAAGCTTGGTGGAAGAGTGCAAGCCTAGCATGCCAGAGGTCCTGAGTTCAATCCCCAGTATCACAAATAAAACAAAGCAAACATCTGGACATAGTGGTGCACACCTGGAATCCCAGCACTTGGGAGCCTGAGGCTGGGGAATCGCCACACATTTAAGTGCAGCTAGGGTTACACAGTGAGTTCAAGGCCAGGCTGAACTACGTAGTGAGACCCTGTGTCAAAAAACCAAGAAAACAGTAATCAGACAAAATGTTGTACACACTAAGTGTATATAATTAAAAATACTGTTTGAGTAGCAGTCATTAAAAGAAGAGCTTTAGTCTTCAAGTCTCAAACAGATGTTTTGCTTTGTTTTGTTTTTATAGTATGGGGGATAGAACCCAGGGCCCTTGCTCTGAACTTCATCCCCAGCCTGTCTACCTGTTTTTGTTTATTTGTTTGTTTGTTTGATTGATTCATTGATTGATTGATTAGGTTCTCCTAAATAAGTTGCCTATTGATTAGGTTTTCCTAAATAAGTTGCCTGGGCTGGGCTTGAACTTGGAATCCTCTTACCTCAGCCTCCCAGAGTGCTGTGATTACAAGTGTTTGTCACCACACCAGATGTTAGATTTTGTTATTTAATGGGTATGACTGTGGCCTGTTAGCTTGTTTTCTATTTTTAGTAGTAATTTTGTGTTCATCTTTTAATTTCAAATTTCCTTGTTGATCCTTCCCGTTGTAAAAGGATAACATGAGCTGGGCATGGTGGTAGATGCCTGTAATCCCAGCACTCAGGAGGCTGAGGCAGGAGGCTCACATAGTGAGTTCAAGGTCAGCCTGAACTACATGGTGAGACCCTGTCTCAGAAAACCAAAAACAGACAAACAAAAAAGATAACACAGTTAAGAAACAGGTACTAATTTATCCTTTCCATCTTCTTACTATCATAAGGGATTCAAACTCAAGAAGCCTTGTTAATGACCCATGTTTATACAGACACACACACTCACATGCACAGGCATTGAAAAGGTTTTTCTTCATTTCTTTTATTGCTAATTGATTTGTTAAAGAACAAGGAGATGATGTTCTATACATTCTTCTTTCATGTACATTATTCTATAATCGTAGTCACTTTTAGTACATGTTGGACATTCCTGTGGATTAGTAAGTATTCAGTAGAGTTCCTTGGGGATTTCCTCCTTTTTTGAGACAGTCTATTGCTGTGTCGTCTAGGCTGACCTTGAACTTGCTGTGCTCAGCATCAGCCTCTTTACTGCAGGGATTACAGGCATGTATGAGTGCACATCAAAAGACAGAAATCCTGTGTAGTCAAGTGTGCCTTGAATTCGTACATTAAATCTGTATATCTAGTGATTGCTGTGTATAGATGTAATGTATGGGAATTCCTGCTTGTTTCATTTTGTAAATTACCATGTCTGTCTTCGAAGCCCCTGGCCTACACTAGCCTCTACCACTGCATTATATCCCCAGGCTTGAAGACAGTTTTACATTTCTTTATTGCTTCTGTAGCTGGTATTTCCGTTAGCTGTTTTGTATTATTATTTAGTACTATTATTCCGTTTATTACTCAAGAAGATCAAAGAAGGCTGGGTGTGACAGCGCACGTCAGTGATCCTAGTACTTGGGAGGCTGAGGCAGGAGGATTTCCGGGAGTTCAATGCCAATCTAGATTACATCATGAGTTCAAGGCAGGCTAAACTACATAGTGAGACTCTGTCTTAAAAAATAAAAATAATCAAAGAGGCTTTCACTGCGTAGTTTTTCTTGAACATTATGCTTTCTTTCTTTTACAGTTGCAAAATATCTAAAATAATTGATATTTTATGTTTACAGATTTTACCAATTTTTGCCAGCTGTTAATCTAGGTCCTGTTGTTTCTGGTCATTTGTAGAGACAGATAATGGCCTTGATGGTGATGCGCTATTTAATGTACCTCCCTTGCCTCCCTCCTCTGGCTCTCTGGTCTCACCGTCTAATCCCATGTCTTTACAGAGTTGACTTTGAGTAAGTTGAACGCGGTTATGACAAGACTTCCTGTACTAACACCCTGCTCCACAGGTGGTTACAGTGCATGTATCAGTGCCCTTGTGTCATGTAGAAGAAAAGTCGGGGCACAGTTGGTAGCTTTACAGCTTTCCTTCCAATTTTGTTCCTTCCTGGATGCCTTCGCTGGGACCTACCGTGTAGTTTTAAGTAGAATAAGGATAGAGGGGTTGTTGAGGGTTCTTCAGAGAAGCGGAGCCGATAGGAGACAGACATAGGTACGAATGTACCTATACGGGAAGGGGGTTTGCTTTCCATTGCTGTGACAGGATACGTGAGGTAGATGGTTTCAGAGGAGGAGAGGTGGCTCTCGGCCCACACTTTCAGCGCAGGGTCACGTGGCTCTGTTGTGAGGCAGAACGTTATGCTGAGGAGCGTATTACGGAGCAGAGCTGCCTACCTTGTGGTGATCAGGAAGGAGAGCGGGAGGGAGGGAAGAAGAGAGCGGGATGAGGGAAAGTGGGGAGTGGAAGAGGAAGAAGACGGAGAGGGAGGGGACAGGGAAGAGTGGAAGGAGGGCAAAGAGAAGAGAGGAAACGTCTCCTTCATGTGCACATCTCCCGGGACCTCCCTCGTCCTCCTGGGCCCGTCTCCGAATGGTTCACAGCCCCAGTGGCCCATTCAGCTATGATTCTGCAGAGGGGCCACAGCTGATGAGGGTAGAAGCGTGTGATCCAGTCTCCTCCCAAAGGCCATGCTTCTCACACTGCTGCATTGCGGACTGCGCCTTCCACCCGAGCTCAGGGGCAACGCGTAGTGCGCAGAGGTAGCTGCCTCTCGCATGTGAATACAAGTGTGTAAGTGCAGGCGGCTGGTTATTATAGGTCAGTGGTTCGCGTGAGTGTGAGAGTGAGCAGGTCCCCGCCTAAGAGTAGGTCTGCTGTAGTGCCCCATGGTCCAGTTCTCCTCCAGACACCCCACCTGTGAGTGCAAGGGCTCTTTGGGGACACCTGGGTATAGACCATAACACGGACTTCGTGTTTATGAAGTAAGCCTGACTTGGTAAAGACACATTAGCCTTCTGTCAGAGTCTAATGTTGGCCTTAAAAATGAGTTGAACCTTTCCTTTTTCTGTTTCTTAACAAGTTCATGTAAGATTATCTGTTCTTTCTGTGTTAGATATTTCTTTATCTGTCTGTCTATCTGTCTATCTATTTATTTATTTTGGTACCAGGAATCAACTCGTACTTGCCAGGCAGGCGTTGCACTACTGAGCTAAATTCCGGGCCCCTAATTGTTTATCATTTACTAAGTATTTATCATTTACTCCATCTGAACCTTGAGTTTTCCTTGTGGGAATATTTTTAATTAGAAATCTGAGTTTTTTTAGTGGGTATATAAGTAATCATTTCTTATTTTGTGTTAGTTTTGATAAGTTTTGTCTTTCAGTGAATTTGTTTAGTTTGTTAAATTTATTTGCATGAAATTCCTGATAAATCTTTATATTAAGCTGTTCCTGGGCAAAAACTATGAATTTAGCAGTTTAAAACGATAATTATTGGGGCTGGGGATTTAGCTCAGTGGCAAAGTGCCTGCCTGGCAAGCGCAAGGTCATGAGGTCGGTTCCCGGTACCGGAGAAAAACCAAAAAAAAAACAAAAAAAAACGATAATTATTACCTGAGCATGATAGTGAGTTTATATAATGCCAGCACTACAGGAGGCTGAGGCAAGAGATTGGCAAGTTGAGGCCCAGCCTGGCAATTTAGCAACTTAATGAGACCCTTTCTCAAAATAAAAATAGGCCTGGGGATGTAGCTCAGTTCCAAGGCTCTGGGCTTATTCTCCAGTATTGGAAAAACAAACAAAAAACCCTCGCCACTTACTCATTTATCGGCATGGAGTTTCTGCTTATAGTTTTATAAGGGTATAGGCTCAGTGTTGGAGTATAATCCAGGTGTTGGATCCAGTTGGGCTCCTTCTCGTTC